GGTGCATGTTCAAGGACTTAAGGTCGATTTTTAGGTGAAACTTAAAGAATAAAGGTTGTTTATCTATGTTTCAACTAACTTCCCTTAAAATATCTTGGTCATTGGATTCGTTTACAAAGAGTTATATCTGATTTAGTACGGATATCTCTAGATAAACTACTACTGGGCGATTGCTCCCTAAGTTTCAAAATTTTATAATAAATTGTGTACTTGGTATTTCGACCTAATTTTTAGTATGTTATAAATAAATATTTCTAGTATCTAAAATAAAATGGGTAAGATTTAATTATGTTCAGAAGTTAGAAAATAACTTACTCGATTAGAGGTTTCTCGATAGTAAACCCTAAAATCCAATAATTAGACTTGGACAAAATTTATGGGTGTAGATAAAATAAAATGGAATTGGATAAAGTCAATGGACTTAGGATTAAGTTAATAAACTTGGATAAAGTTAATGGGCTCGGAATAAGAAAAAAAAGGGCTTTGACTAAAATAAGTGGACTTAGATAGAAATAAAAGGGATTTGAAAATTCTAAAGAAAATTTATTCTTTTAGAGAGGAAATAAGAAAAATATTTGGACCTTCTTTTAAATATTAATGAAACTAATGAACAGTATTAATAAGCGGAGGTTGTGTTCCCGCTATGAGTACCATGATTGGTATGTGAGCGACGGGTGAATCCCGAGTATTGGTTGAACCGTGAGTAAGGCTTAAGAAAGAAGGGTTGGTACCCGAGTTTGGTTGAATGTGATTAAACATGTCATCACATGCATCACGTGCATTGGGGGTGGAATAAGTTGAGAAAAATCATTGAGTCATGAAATGACACGGTTTGGTAATTGAATTAAAAATAAATGGGTATTAGTAGTCCAAGTACTCTAGGTCGTGTGCTCGCACTATTAGACGATGGATTCCCGCTAATAGTAGTTACAATGAGGGATAATTCCGTTGTAGCAGAAGATGATCCAAGGATCATCTGGATGAAATCAAGTTGTGTGCTTGCATTGTTAGACGATGGATTCCCGCTAACGGTAGTTACAACGAGGGATAATTCCGTTGTAGCAGAAGGTGATCTGCGGACCACCCGGATGATAAATAGAGTAGATCGGCTAATACCTAGGGTACCCGAGATTAAAATTCATGAGTATGGTGGGAAGTCAAAACTTCATTGCATATCACGTGCATCACCCTACTTACCGAGCTTTGGCTCACCCTATTGTTATTTTTATGTCATGACGGGAAAAGGACAAGTTGGTACGGATGCGGCTAGCTCCTCTTAATCGGCTCATGTGAGGCATCATATATTAGTTTTTTATTTTGTTTGTAAATTTAACGTATGGAGTTTGTGAGAAATTGAATATTGCATGTAATGTGTTAGTAATGTATTTAATTATGTTATGTAAATTTTATCTCAAGGAGTTATATACGTAATATGCTGTTAAAATTTTAAATATATCATAAGAGAACTACTTAGAGTTTAAGATATGTCGACGTAACGCGCTTCGTCCAGTACCCTACTTTGGTAGTAGAAATATGACTGGGAGGAGGTGTTACATTATCGATTAAACCCGACATGTTATCAATTAAACTTGACATGCGATTTGTTCAATTATACTCCAATTAAACTTCAAATCTAATAAAAACATTCATTAATTAGTTTATTACATAAACATCAAGAAATCATTTCAACATTTGTGTTATCAATTAAACATAATACCTACCCAATCAATTGAAAATTTTCACAAAATATTTAGAATATCATCAATTAACATAAAAATTGCATTTAGGTAGTGTAGATAGAACTTCACTTACCTCTAATTAGTTTGATCTTGATCACACTTAAAGAATTTGAAAGTTTTCTCCTTTTTTTCTCTTTAATATTTCAACCAACCACCGGATTTTTCCTCTCTTTCATTTGGTTGTTCCTTCTTCTTTCTTCTTCTCCATCATTTGACTTCTTCTTCTTCTTTCTTGCTAACTTACTACTTTTTCTTCTTCTTCTTCTTCTTCTTCTTCTTCTTTCTTGCTAACGACTTCTTTTTCTTCTTCTTTTTCTTTCTTTCTTTCTCATGGTTTCTCTCTTATTTTTCCTTTCCCAAGTAAGCTTTTTAGGTATTTTTCCTAATGCTTAACCGACTTAATTTCGCTTCCCCACCCTCTAGAATTCTCTTTGCTCCTTTTTATTTGGTCTTTGATGCCTCTTTTAGAGAGAAAATATCAAGGAAGCTAGTTAATAAATATCTACCCATTCAACTGGAAACTTCTTTTCCCATTTCTCTCTTTTTTGTTGACTTATAGGTACTAAACAAATTTTAAATTGTCACATGCTAGATAACACTCCTAACTTAGGTGTTGCATTTAGATTATTTTAGATGTACTTAAATCAAGTGTTACTAAGTAATTTAATTGATCTCTCTTTTTTATTTTCTTCTTGGCCTAATATTAAAAGCTTGCTAGGAAACTTAATCTATCATTTTTATCAATAAATCTTAATAAATATTCAAATCCTTAATTATTAAATATTTATAATCTTTAGAGATTTTCTAGGGCATTCTTATTCATTCAATTAAGTACCAGAATTATTCACCTTCATAACTTTTAATAATTAGACTTATTAAATTAATTACTTAATAACCCATTTACATTACTGAATATTTATGGTTGCATAATATTCATTTTTCTTTTTCATATCAGACATAAATATTAATTTTATAAATTAAATAAATATTTATACATTAAAATAAATTTATTCACTATTATATAAATATTTAAGAGGTAAAGAAGTCAAGGATATTACATTGAGAACCATGGTATTATTCATGTGTAAGTGGGTTCCTCTTTTTTGTTAATTTTTGACAGAAATGGCATGTTTTGATAATGGGTTGAGTCTATAATCTATTATTATATACTAGAGTCAATTATATCTTTATTATTTAAACAAGTTTCTAATCGATCTTTTTGATCAATTTTTTTTCTAAGTCAAACCATCCAAAAATATAGCATGACTTGCACATGATTTTTTTTTTTAATGATGAAAATGCCCCTCTCACCTTAGCATTTTAAGTCTCTAATATGTTCTTATATAATAGATTAACTCTTCAATTTGTCCTTAATTCAGAATAAATACATATAATTGTAAATTTTGCTAATAATATATTGCATTATGGTGAAATTTTTTGTTAATTAAAAATATATAAAAATAATTAGAATATGTTAGTATATAAATGTTCAAGGAATTATCATTTAAAATATTTTTAATACTAAAGAATCCATTATATTATTTCATTTATAATAATTGATTTATGTATAAGATTGAAAAAATTGATATAACTAATATGTTAAATAATCTCTATATAAGAATATGTGTGAATCACATGTGAAATGACTAAATGATATAAATGTCATCGATTGGATTAAAAAACTACATAATTATTATTTAAATGATTGTTAATTAGTCACTTAAGCATGTATTTATTTGTATAAAATTAAAATTTACTGAAAATAATATTAAAAGAATGAATTATTAGATTAATATCATTTTTTTTATACAATGAAATTTGCTAGAGTTTGATGGAAGGTACTTGAATTTAAAAATTATCGAGTGACTAAATCATTTTATTATATTTTATTTAATCACAATATCTGAGTTTAACAATAAGAATATATCATTGAATAATTAATAATGTCCTAATTGACTCATTATCAACTACGTAAAATACTTTTGCAATACCAGCATAAGCTATTGTTCTTGATTAAAGATATATTTAATACTCAACTCATTATATAAGAATAAGTTGGAGAATTAATACGTTAAGTTAAGATGAGCTTTTTTTACAAAAGAAAAGTCAGAGCATGTGTCACTTTGAGATGGTCTAATTAAAAAAATTGACTAAAAAAATAGGTTAAAAACTATTCAACTAACTTGAATATAATTTACTTATTTTATAATATAAGGATAAATTAAAAACTAAACTCATTATATAAAAACAGAACAGACCACATCCTCTGATTTTTGTTAATATATTTACATTATACCACCCATTACAATTTATTATTCAAGTGGAGTAACCTCCATTCACACCATTATAATTTCTTATTAGTAATTTTCGTGGCATTATACCCACCATTGGAATTTAAAAGGATTCAGTAAAATGCAAAAGGGAAGAATGTGGGAGTCGCTGGCAATCATATAAAACTCTCTCTCTCTCTCTCTCTCTCTCTCTCTCTCTCTCTCTCTCTCTCTCTCTCTCTCTCTCTCTCTCTCTCTCTATATATATCTCTATATATATATATATTTTTTTTTGTTTAATCTGTTTGGTGGGAAAATGAGGATAAAAAAGAGTGTTCAAGTCCAAAAGCATCAGAAAATACGGTATTTAGAAAAGACAAATTGGATAAATAGATAAACAACATTATATAATTAAAACATTAACATGTTTAATAGGATGTAAGAGACTATATAATATAATGATTCATTACATTTCTAAGTTTCGTTGTATATTTTTCAAAATTGCAATGTAATGGACCATTATAATTGCAATGACTCGTTACCTAATGAACATTACAATAATAATTAAAAAAAAAATAAAAAATAAAAAAGCTATGCAGTGAACTATTATATGATGAAGAGTATGATTTGATTGTCAGGAAAAAAAATCATCATAAGAACTTAATTGTAGATTTTGTAAAGTACAAGGACCAATTTTTTAATGGACCAACTGTACATAAAAACAAACTAGAAGGACTATAACTTTTTTTAATATTACAGGGATTAAAAGGAAACTTTGTTAATGTCTCCGTTACATTACTAAAAGTTTTGCAGCTAAATAAAATATATATATATATAATAAACCACTCCACTCCATTTCATTATAATTTTTTTTTTTCATTTCAGTCCATATTTAATTACACTATATTATTTCTAACTAAACATTCGGTAACAATTGCGGATAAAAAATGATTAATGACTTTGCGCCCAGATACAAAATACTATACAAAAATTAAATGTTGGCGTGACTTATGGCAACTGATCTCCTAGCTCTTGACCTTCTTGCATACTTGACAATTTTGCGTATGAGACGGATGGAATGTCCTATAAGAACAATGCCCATGACTCCATAAAATGCCGCACCGGCGCCAACTTTGGCATTAGTACTTTCATCCCGACGGCTGGACAAACAAGATAAAGAGATGGAGTATGTCAAGATTGTCGCTATAATTGCAATCCACATGATAATCATCAGAATCCACATCAAAATCTTCCATTTGAAAGGTAACCCACTTATCAATAATAGGATCACACTAATGGATGCTAGAAAACTTGTAGTGTTGTACCCAACAAAAAATGCATAATCGTCTGGGAACTTATCAGCCATTATGGACCGACCAGCTTCATGTGACAGTGATATTGGGTGTAAGTCATCTTGCCAGTTACCATTGGGTGGACTAATTCCAGCTTGGAAAGCCATGGTTGCAATTAGTGATGCAACCACCATTAATGCATTTCGCCTTTCTTCCAGCCAATTTTTCTTCCTCTCACGATTCTTATTATTGGCCCTAATGGCAATCGATCCGTGCATTGTTGAAGGCATATTCTTGGAACTCAGAGCTCCAGCCTCTAAAAGAGTGTTTTGAATGTCTATGTCTTCAATGTTTCTTCGGCCCCGTGCCAATACAATGTCCAATGCTGTGAAGCCATTTGCGTTCAACGCATTTACTTCTATCAGAGTTTCGGTGATGAGATAATTTATGATCTGAAAATTGGTTTTGCTACTATGTCAGAAGGAGGGGATAAAACAATTTTTAACATACCAGATAAATATCAGAAAAAAAAAAAAAAAAACATTTCTTAAGCGAACACCAATTATCTGAACTGATTTAATAACAAACAAATGCCTGACAGTTTTCCGGTACAAAACTTTGAAGGAATCATCTAATCTTTGGTCATGATTCAAGGTGCTAAGATAAGAGGGCTTAAACTCAAAGCATTTGAAACTACTTGCTAAGGAAGTAAGATAAGGTTGTCGTTCTTGTACCTGAATTTCTCTATCAGCAACTGCTTGGTGTAGGATAGTTAAGCCTTCATCATCCTCTGAATTTACGAATGCAGAGTCATCAATTGTCTCCACCAAGAGCTTCAATGCATCCAATCGGTGGTGTTTAACACACAGATGCAGGATGGTTACACATCGTTGCCCTCTTGTTCGAATGGCTTCAGGTTTGGCTTGAACTAACTCGATCAAGACATCAATTCGGTCTTTGATCACTGCAATATGAAGAGGGCTCCATCCATTTCGATCTTTAGCAAGGCACATATCTGCGTTCACCGACAACAACGCTTTCACTACTTCAAGTTGACCTTTTGCTGTTGCCAAGTGAAGTGGAGATGATCTATGGAAATCTAGCTCTTTGACCAATTCAGGCTTTCGACAAAGAATTTCTCTTGTGAATTCCAAGTGTCCAAGCATGGCTGCTATGTGTAGAGGCATCTCTGATGCACAAGTAACAGCACATCTATCAAGAACAAGTTTATCTTCCTGAAGTAACGCCAGCAAGGAAGTGACATTTCCTTCAACAGCCGCTTCTTGAAGCTTTCTTTGCGCCTCTTCGATTCTCTCCATTCTATCTTCACGTGCACCGTTTGTTTCAGCGGCCTCAATTTATCAAAGAGGCAACAGAGTCTTCCTTAGAATATGAACACAGACTTTCTACCAGGTCAGAACTTCAAGCTCACGTTGGCCTGAAAAGTAAAATAAGTAGTCATATCGATCCCATTATATAAATGCAGTCCAAAAGGATACCTTTTCATGCTGACTACGAAATAAGATTCTTCTTATTGGACTAAGAAAATCAACAGCTCCTTGGCATGCTCTAGACCAATCAAACAACAGTTTAAGAATTTGTTCAGTGGTGGTTGAACTCTCCATGCCCTGAACCCATCCTCCACGAAAAGCCGACTAGTAACAGGTCAAAGATATTAGTCATAGAGAGAAAAATTCCGAGATTGATGCGCTGAACCTTTTAGCCGAGCAAATTACATTAAAGTCCCATGCTTCAAGTTCAAGAATCCGGAATACTTCAAAGTCTCTAGCATAACGGGCGTATAATTGTTAATATTATCCAAAAATAAAATAAAATAAAATAAAACAATAAATAGTTGTAATTCCACACACTCTATGTAATTACAGTTGAATGTAATTCATTTAAAGTGAATCAATAGATCTTTCATGGTATCGAGCCTATATGGAGCATTGGAGAAGTCTCTAAGATGACCTAGAGAATTCTAGAGAGTCCCTCACTAATCTAGCATTTGTATATCTAGATAGTTTCTTATAAATATCTAGATAGGATATTTCTAGAGAACCAATTGTAACCATTAGATTAAATAGATCCTAGCCATCCATTGAGGAGGTGGAAGGCTATAAATAGGTGAGGCCCTCACTTGGCCAAGACACCTAGACATTCATAAACTTAAGAGAGTGTGTCTTTAGAGTTGTAAGCTTTTAGAAAGCAATACAAATAGTATTTTATATCTCTTGTGTGTGTCTTTCTTGCTTAGCAACTTCGTGTGAGGAAGGCTGACTTGGTTTGTCTTAGAGAAGAAGAGAGCCAAGTGCCGCACGTGAGCTTGGGAAAGGCCAAGTCCTTGACAAGTGGTATCAAGATTCTTCCGAAATTGAAAGTGTGTTTCCAAAATCAACACTCACCCTATAAAGTCTTTTCTCAAGCAATTTCCATCAAAATAAGAAACTTCTTCAAAAGTATGAACATATTGATGAATAAACTAATTGTTGGCATCTAACATTAAGAGTTCGAAACCTTCTCCGATCATGGTAAAACTCCTATCAAATAATTTACGAGTGACGATCATGCATCTTTCTTGATTTATGTTGCTACAAAGGTTGCTACCATTTTATTCACCAATCGGATCAATTGCTTCGTTACCAATTATATAGTAGATAAGGAAAGGATATAGGGATTGTTAGTACTCAAAATTCTTAAAAAATAAGACATAGCAAAACCGGAACTAACAATTACGGAATTCAATTTCCTATTAAATTTGATTGTTGACTTCACGGTATGTTGACACATGTCACGTGTTCAAACAATAAAAAATGAATAATGAATTTTATCACATAGCATGATCCCTTATCTTCTTGAGTTTGGTAATGAACTCCTAATTTTTTTTTCCTTTACTTAATATTGTTTATTTGATTGAATTGATTAATAATGGATATATATATATATATATGTGTGTGTGTGTGTGTGTGTGTGTGTGTGTGTGTGGTTGATATTATTGTGATTTTGTTGTGTTTGGAGGGTCCATTGGTTGACTTGTCTATGATAAAAGACTTAAATTGACATAAAGGTGAGGATTCAATTTTTATTTTTAAGTCATTGAAGTGTTTTTGTTTTCGTTTTGATTTTTTTTCTCATTTTAATATACATATATATTTTTTTAATAATATATTCATTTCCTCTAATATCATATATCTATTATGAGATTATCTTCTTCTTTTTTTTAGTTTATTTTTATCTCTATTTTTATATTAAAATCGGGAAAGAAATTAAACAAAGAAAATAAATAAAAAGAAAAGTCCGACAATAAATATATGATATTATAAAAAAAATTAATTTTTAAATAGGCATACAATATCCCTTTTTAGAGCTAGTTAACCCTTCAACTCATTTAAAATTTTTGACTAATTTTAATAAAGTTAAAAATTTGAATGCAAGGATTGAATTGAAAAAAATAATAATCAAGGACTAACCTGTATGTACAATTAAGGTAGCCATGTCTGATCCATGACTTACCTGCTACACAATAAAAAGCTTCTTCTTCAAAACCCCAATCCGCTCGCATAAAAATTATGGCGTGTAAGGTCTGGCATGCACCAGGAATCATAATTTCTTAATGCTGAAGTATTAGTCTAGCTCGACAGTACACCCTAATTAATAAAAGCTTTAATTTTTTTTTTTTTAATATAATCAACAATATGATAGAACAGAGGCACTGATGTTGACAACCATTTTTCCCCGTCATCGGAGAGAAAAAATGGCTTGAGATCAGCTACTTAGAAAAGCCATATCAGCAATTTCTATTGGCTTCTTCACAATTCTAGACAGAACCTTGCGGGACCCTTGAATCAATTGCCTCTGGAATTCTCTCGTTCTCTTGCTTGCCCTCCTAACCCCACTATAAAAACATCTAAAATGTAGCATTGTGAATCAAGAAAAAAATTTTGAAACAGCAAATCAAAATTGTATTAACTCCAAATTTTCGTTTTAGCTTTACGATCTTTTTTTCTTCACCAAAACATGGATTTGAGGAACTTTGGTATTGGGTCTCCAATCTTTTCAATGATAGAAGACATGCTGGACTTCCCTGAAGATCAGCAAGAATCCAAGTCTAAAAACAACCCTTCGCGTGCCTACGTTCGTGATGCAAAAGCCATGGCTGCGACACCGGCAGATGTTGTGGAGTATCCAAACTCCTATGTGTTCATTGTTGACATGCCAGGGATCAAAGCTAGCGAGATCAAGGTTCAGTTAGAGAATGACAATGTGCTTGTGGTGAGTGGACAGAGAAAGAGGGTCAAAGAGAAAGATGACAAAGACGGTGTCAAATATTTGAGAATGGAAAGGAGGGTTGGCAAGCTGATGAGGAAATTCGCGTTGCCTGATAATGCTAATATGGAAGCTATATCTGCAGTTTGTCAAGATGGGGTTTTGACTGTGACAGTGGAGAAGATGCCACCGCCTGAGCCAAAGAAGCCCAAGACCATTGAGGTTAAAGTTGCTTAATACTCCATTTGATTGAAATTGTAAAGAAATGGGCTCCTTTCAGTTTCTATGTCGCATGATTGATCATGTCCATTAGTGTGAGAGTCAGTGATGAGCAGTTTTCAGTTTGGTTTGGGGTGTAAAATTAGAGTCCATTAATAAAATTCACATTGTGTTTTGACTTTTTGTTAACAGTCATGTTTGCCTTTGTATACATAACATCTCTATAAGATCTGGCAATTACATCTTCAATATTAATTCCGTGATAGAATATAGGTTGCGATAATTTCAAATGACCCTTCTGATCTGTTGAAAGGGCACATCATATTTCTTCTACAGGTTCGGTAGTTTTCTGTATTATTGCTTACAAGAAGAGATGAAGAAGTTTTCTTTTTATCGAATTAGATTTGTCTGAAGCAAAATACAGGGAACCATAAATATTAGTGTGAATCAACCACATTCAAATTTTACATTCAATTGTTGCGAAAACTCTGTGATATGTTATTTGCCAGAAAGGGGTCAGGTTCTGCTCTGAATGTGCTTGTATTTGATATGAATTATGTCATATCACCTCTGTTATAACTTATTTTTAACTTCTTTATTTTAAAGTGATTTCGTTTTTTCGATTTCCGTTGCGTTTTTTGGGCATGTTGCCTTACGCGCGCGCATATTTTATTTTAATTTTTTATTGGACAAAAACTTGATAATTTGTATATTATTCTTTTGATTTTATTTTATTTTTTATGTGAGATATCTATCCAATATTCTTTTATTTATATATATTGGCAAATTTCTTTCTTTCCTTTTTCTTTTCTCTTTTGCCCATATGTGAGCGTATGGGTCATTTCGATTTCATATAGGCCTGTTGAGTGCGAGCTTTCATTTAATAAATCAATTCAGTTTAACTTATATTTTCACCTTTTTGTTTTTTTGAGTTCAAGGCCTATTTGTGCAAAGTGAAGAATATGATCTTTTACTAGCCTAGTTCCCTTGACTTTAATATCAGTTATCTCTAATTTAATAATAAACACATCTAATAGGCATGGATAATTTAGCATTAAAAAAAATTGAATATTATAAAATAACATACGATGTAACTTATCCCAAATAAAATATAAAATGGTAATTGTTATCTTTTCCACATATAATCAGTCATTTACTCGTGATCTTTGTAAGATCAATTATTTAGATTTTTTAGAGAAATCTTAATACTAGGTTATCGCTCCTTTTCCTATATTTTCCTTCCAAGTTTACTAATCCCAACATCCCTTGCCATAACCTGTATATGAATGCTAACAATGATAATTTGGCAGGTTTAAAAAATCTTCTTACAACAATTCCTATGGTAAAAAATCTTGTTGGATTCAGAACATTCAAACACAATATGATTGAATGAATACAGTACTACCATTGGATATTCTACGTTTCTTTTTTATGCATACTCACTTCTGATCTGATCACTTTGAATAACATTCCAAACCAAAGAAAAATGTCTGATGTAGTAAGACGCGGCCAGTTAGCCATTCCAAGCTAGCATAGAAAATTTGAACACACTCCCTCAACATGGCTTAATTACAATCAACATAATCACCATTTAATTCGACATCAATATGCTTTGCTTCATTATGTTCTTACTTGTTTTATAAATGATTAACCCAAAATTATTTCCTTCATAATACAAGAGCACATCTTCTTTCTTTTATAATTATTGATGAATTTACATGATATGTGTCATTTAGATACTTCATGCACATTACACTTGAGAATGGGATACACAATCCCTTCAAGGACTAGTTGGCACCTCAACGAAGGACTATTATTCCTTCAATCATGAACACTTGTCTTGGACAAAGAAGAGCATGTTTAAACAACTATCATGAAAGACATTTAATGAAGACAATCTTTCGAGATTATCCTTGTCCAATCCACACCAATCATGATAACACTAACATCGTTAGAGAACAAGTCACATCAAGGGTCTAGGTCTCCTAAGTTGGCATCGGAGACCGTCAATAACTAGGAAATAGATTGTTCTACCCTCTCCATTATACAACTTACCAAAAACATCACATATTTAAAAACGTTAACCACAAAGGGTTTCACGTTCCTAATCCTACACTCTCTAAAATATTGTATCATTTGTTATCTATCTTACTCACATAAAGACACACTAAAAGCCTAATTAAGTTACTTCTCTCCGAAATCACTAACTTTATCATCAAAGGGTCTCTCAATCCACAAAAAAGGACTTATTTTATAGGTAACTTATACAATAAAGTTCATCTATTATGATCAATTTCCATCATTCATCATCGGTTATCAAGAGTCACGTAACTTTTATTTATTTTTTGAGTTTTTAAGACTCATTAGTTGGCATCATTTGTGGAAAACTATTTAAAAAGCTAGTTTCTAATTTCTCTATAAAATGTCTAAGTTCTATCATGGATGATCATCAAGAAACTTTAATTCGCATGACCTTGTAAGTCCTAGTATGCAACTTGTGGATGTTGTCCAGTTGTAACTAGGGGTAGCATTATTCGGTTAAAATTGAAAAAAAAAAAATCGAACCGAACCAAATTAGCAATTTCGGTTCGGTTTTATAAAAAGAATTTGAAAAAAAATTATAATCAAAAATCGAAATTATTTCGGTTTGGTTCGATTTTTTTTTAAAATTTGGTTTCCACTGAAACTGAATTAGTGTTTTTTTTAAACACACATCCAAGCTCTTTTTTTAAAAAAATAAAAATAAAAATAAAAGAGGCAATCATAAGTTTAACTAAAAGAACAATAGCTTTAAAGATTTTTTTTCTACTTAAAATAAAAATATTTTCCATTAATTATTTATTGAAATAATAAAATAATTGATTATATTATATTGACTAACAAACAAATAAAAAAAGACTATAATAAAGTAATTCTTTGTAAATACACAAGTTTATGTGTGGGTGAATCCTAAAACCTCATGAAAAGAAATTGTCTTCTTATATTAAAATTGGCACAAAAATATCCCTTAAAAAAATTGACCCCAAGCTACTGCATTTATAATAGTAGTATTGATAACAACTAACAATAATAATTTTTTCACTCTTTATATGCTTATACCAAACATAAATTAAGAATGAAATTTTTTAGATTATCTATTTAGGAATAAAATATGCATAAAATAAAGAGATTAAAAAAAATATGAAAAATTAACAAAAAACCAATCATAGCATGATTGAAAAATAATGAGAAGTCCAACCAATCTAGTTTATAATATAAATAGAAACAAATTTAGTATAGAAAAATAATAATAATCTTACACAATTTTCTTATAAAATCAAATGTGGAATATACAATTTTTGATTATGTTGTGGCTCAATAAATAAAGAAAATTGTATTTATTAATTAGATATAAGATTCAAATGACGAGATAGTATTCATGATAACGAGTTGTAAAGTTAAATTGCTATAAAAGTTATGATTTGGTTATTAAGTGAATTAATTTATGTCTTTGTAAATTGTAATCCAAACAAGTGATCCCTCTAAAAATAAATGAAAAAAAAATCAATCACTACCGAAAACGATACTCAATTACTATATAAGTTTGATATTTTTTTAAAAAGTAATTAATTCGATTTTTAGAAGAAAAATGTAAAGAAAAAAAAAGGTTTTTAATCGAAAAACCGAACCTCAATTCGGTTTGGTTTTTGTTTTAGTCAATTCAACTAATCGAAAACCGAAAAAAAAATTGAAACTCGAACCAAAAAAATCAAATGATCTCCCCTAGCTGTAACTACATACCTAAAACCTTACAAAAGCTTTTTGGGTGACTCAAGAACAAATATAGGTACTAACTTCGATACCTACATGTGTTACAAGCACCTCTTCGTGCTTTATTGCTATAAATTAACTCACCATCATGTGACATGCCATGTGCCAAATAAGCCTTATCCTTCATTCTATGAACAAATGCAATCAATGCTTTATTGTTGAAGTAAGAAAAAGGCACAATGATACGAGAAGTAGTGAACAAGGACATCGTCTTCCTCTAAAACCTTAGAAGAACCACTTTTGTCACCATAGAAAAGAGCAAATAAGCTAAAACTCTTATAGGGGATGATAAGAAGAAGAAAAATCAAAGCAACATCAAGACGATCGAAGCATCACAATGTTAGTAAAGATGATCATGAAAAACCATAAGAATACCTTCTCATCAAAAACCACTTCGATGAGTCCAAAAGAAAGCAAGACGCCTCTTTACGGTCAAACCTACACCACTATAGCCACGAGTCCTAAATCTCTTCTCTCATTCTTTAAATTCTAAACATTAAGCTCTCTAAAGAGTTCATTTTGAGAATGATAAACCTAGACTTGTATGAAAGTTCTACTAATCCAAGAAACATGTATAAAATATGAGAAGGACCCTTGAATTAGTACTAAGATGGATGATGCCATTTGCAAGATGCTCTCTACTACTTTTGGTTTAAAAATGGTATAATAGTTTTGATTTAAAATACATACTAAGCTTTAAGGATCTTAACTTCAAGTTAGTCGTCTATTTTTCCACCGACTTCTCTTTTGAGAGAAGTTTAGTAGATCTTTTCTTAGAAGAAAAGTCAAAGCAACACCATAAAAGTCCGAAGCATACACAATGTTAGTAAAGATCATCATTAAAAACACCATAAGAATACCTTCTCATCAAAAACCTCTTTAGTAAGTCCAAAACCTAACTACCATCGGGCTAAAAAAAAGCAAAACGCCTTTTTACGGTCAAACTTACACTATTACGGCCATAAGTTCCGAATTTCTTCTCTCGTTCTTTAAATTCTAAACATTAAGCACTCTAAAGAGTTCCTTTTCTTAGGTTTTAGGTTCTCTTGCTTCGATTCGTCACTTTTACTACAAAACCTAAAGCCATCGTCTTATTTTTAAATAACATAATATACTATAATAATTACTAAAAATTTCAATGTAATAGAGCATAAAAATCATGCTAATTATGCACTCGTCTTTCCCTCATTGATTTTCTTTGCTTTTTG